AACAACAAAATCGCAACGCGAAAATGACTATCGCAATGCGAAAATGACTATCGCAATGCGAATTTGACTATCGCAACGAAAGAATCGCAATGCGATTTTCATTTCGCTAAATCGCATTGCGATTCTTTCGTTGCGATAGTCAAATTCGTATTGCGATAGTCATTTTCGCATTGCGATTCTCTCGTTGCGATAGTCATTTTCGCGTTGCGATAGTCATTTTCGCATTGCGATAGTAAACTATTCTTCTTCTGCAAATTGAAACTTGAATGGATTGCATTACTTCAACCAAAAGATAACCAAAAACAAATACTAACTTCATAGGGTTAAAGAATAAACAGTTAAACAGTATTGGCAGCAACCGAATGAATTTACTAAGCAATCTAAGTGAAATTACGAGTAAATTTATCATCAAGTTAAATATGAAAAATATTAAATTACCTCGTTGCATAGAGTATGAACCTCGTTCTGCAACGATGCTACAATCTCACGTAGAGCTGCTACCTCACCACGTAAAGTAGACACCTCAACACGCCATGCACCATTGTCATCGCGTAAAGTACCGACCTCCTCACGCAAGGCATTGACCTCATTACGTAACTCCCCTAACTCATCTCGTGGAGGTGGAGAACAGGGAGATAAACGTCATGGCATCTTTGTCGGTCGCCTATCATGAGGTGATGGTGGAGAAGAGGCTCGATGATGTGAAAGAATAGGTGATGACTCTCGTTGTGGAGGTGTATATTCGGGTCGATCAGGTGATGGCTCTGGGTGAGGTGATGGCTCTCAAAGTGGTGGCTGCTCATCATCCGTGCTATAAAAAAAAACGCTTACTAGTTTGCCACCAATCAGTGGCAAGCTCAGCTTCCGTGGGTGTCAGCCTCTGTAATGGAGTGTTGGCCTCCTAACAATATAAAAACTCAAACAAAGTTAAACGTTTACTAGTAATAACTTGTTTATAAACATATGATAGTATTTGTGTTAACTTACATTATTTATTGTAGTATACGGTAGTAAATCTTCCCATTACTGGAAGTACCATTTCCTCATCCAGGAAATAGCCCTAGGAATATCATTAGAAGTTTTTAATGCATATGTCTACATGGCGGGAAAGGCCTCAAATATTCAAATCTACAAACAATATAACAACAAACATTAGTAATTGTTAAAGAATTAATTATAATTTTGGAAACATTATATAAAAATTATTACCTTAAAGGCCCAAATAAAGTATGACAAAGTGTATTTGGAATCATCGCCACGCAAACTTTTTCGATCATCAAAGGCAGACGACAACTAATTCCATGTAGCTCTCCATAGATACGAACCCCACGTAAACAGGTTCCATGCATTTAGGTCCTCTACCAATTTAATTATATCATTAGGAATAGGTTGTCGGGCCTCTCTGCCTAAAAAGTCGGCTTGCAAAAGTATTAGAAGGCATACTCGGACAACATCGACGTCATCCATCCGAGTAAAACCATCTTTTTTATTCAATAATCTTGTCAAGTCTTCCACATGTAAATTCGGCTTCTCCGTTGACAGCTCAGGAAAAACCCGGGAAAACCATGATAGAAGGGTAATATGTCTAGTGTACCGATCTACATCATCGTGTTCGAAGCGTAGACCGGTGATTAAGCAAAACTCCTCCCGCCCAAAACACGTATACGCCGGTGGAAAATCAAACCATATCTCTTCATCACGACGTTGTATAGTCTCTGGTAGATCGCTAGTCATGGTTTGAAGAAACAGATGGGTCAACATAGCATCTCCACCCGGATGTTGTACTTTCAGCCATGACCCGAAGCAAGTATCCTCAAATATTTTTCTTTGTGCAGGTGAAAGCTTCGATGCAATTGTTTTGGCCAGGCTTACTTTATTTCTTAAGGTCAATTGAACCGAATAAAAGCTATGCAAAAACAATAAACATACCAATTTAAATATACCAAAAACTATACTGTGAAGATATAACAAGAACAATAAACATAAAGAGTAGTAGTTTATTCTTCAAACTTAAATTTGCAACACTGTGAATTTAGTATTTGTTTTTTGTTGTTGAAGTAATGCAATTCATTCAAGTTTCAATTTGCAGAAGAAGAATAGTCTAGCAAAACTTTAAATCGCAACACGAAAATGACTATCGCAACGCGAAATGAAAATCGCAACGACAGAATCGCATTGCGATATTCATTCTCGGTTTCAAATACTAAAATTGAAAGAAACTTGAATGGATTGCATTACTTCAACCAAAAGACAAAACAAAGACAAATACTAACTTCACAGGGTTAAAGACTAAACAGTTTAGCAGTATTGGCAGCAATCGAATGAATATAATAAGCAATCTAAGTGAAATGGTTAGTCTATTATTGAAAACACCAGTAAACTTATCATCAATTTCAATATAAAAACCTAATAATAATGCAAAAATTTCAAAATAAAAATAATTAAAAAAACTAACCATCGGTGGTTGATTTGGTTGATTTTCCATTTCTGACCGTGAATGATTTCGCCGGAGATGGAGATTGATATCGTCGTGGGGACTGATTTCGTCGGAGATGGGGACGGATGTCGCCTTAGAGAGTGAGAGATGGAGATGAGACTGAGTTGTGATTTAGGGTTTTAGGTTATGAGTTGCGATTACGAGATATACTGTGGACGGTTCAGTGTTCCGATATATTAATATATTCGTGTTTGGAATTTGAAAAAAAATACGCGTTAATACGAATGGCGCTATGTAAATCGCATTGCGATTTCCCAAATTCGTGTTGCGATTTACGTATTCGCATTGCGAATTAGGAAAATCGCAACGCGAATTTGGGAAATCGCAATACGATAGTCAGAATCGCATTGCGAATCTGGAAACTAATTTGCGATACCGGAGATCGCGTTGCGAATTATCGATCGCATTGCGATTTAGTTGGTCTTTTTGGCAAATTCAAAAAAAAGTTGGTCAAAATCGTATATTATAAGGCATTTTTGGTTACTGAGGTTATTTTCTCATTTTATTAACCATATATTAAAATCGCAGAACATGAAACTTCGATGGGAAAGGTAGACCCATTTTTAATTGGACGACTCGGTTTTGCAGTCCCACTCAGGGCTTGATTTTGTTTCATGATTTTATCCATTACAATCTCATCGCACCATCTCCAGATTCTCCCCCTTAAAAAATGGTTGTCCCTTGTTCTCATATGTAATGGGTAAGAGGAGGTAAGACAGTAGGCTGCCCCCAACACTAGATTGAGAGCAGCTTCCGTAGGAGACCTCTAAATTATGAAATGCCCTCCATGGGACGATATTGATAAATTGAAAACAAAAAAAGAGCAGCATATTAAATTTAAATTATAAATTTATTTGATATTTTATTCAATATTAAATATAATTATTTTTAAAAATAATATAATTAAATAATTAGGTTGTTTTATTTTACTTATAATTCAAATATTATATTACCTAAGTGAATAGATAAAATATAATTATTAGATGGATAAAATATAAATTAATTTTACATTAAAAATGTGTTTAGTACATTCAATAGATTGTAAGAGTGACACATATGACTTTGTTTTAATTTTACTTGCGTGATATTTATGTTATCACTTGTAAATAATAAGTAAATTTTATGAAATTAACACATGGAAGCCTTCCATCATGTATGAATAATGATTAATTTAAGGGATAAATAATGACATATTGGAGAGTTAAAGCGAAGTTGCTCCACTAGTTAGTGGAGCACTCACTGACCCTCTAAATTAATCATTAATCTCATAAAATAAATATTAAATCCATCCAAGTAGACACTGCGCGCTTCTATCAAGTGATGTAAGTTTAGATTGTGAGAAAAAAATTTAAAAATTATTTTCCAAAATAACTATATACAATAATAGATAATATTACTTCTCCTGATTGAATAATAATATTTAATTTTGAATTAGTCGAAAAGTTTTTTTCTTTTGCCATAACTGTTGCCATATTAAAAATTTGGCCTAATGACAAAAACACCTATAATGTTGGCATAAATAATCAATTTTATTTTAATTTTTTAAAACATTTTACCTTTATCGTTTTAATTAAAACAAATATTATTGAATGAAAAATATTAGTTAATTAACATGTAACACATGTTGGTGATGTGCTATTTTATATGTTAAATTGATGATGTGACATGTGTTATATTATTTAAAGTAATGATGTGATATATTATATCATCAAAGTAATGACATGATATGTGACTCATCAATAATTAAACACATATAAAAATATTATATTAGTAACATGAATTGATGGTTAGTAAATTAAAAATTTTCATCTCATGATTTGTATTAAAAAATTAAAATATTAAGAGAGAAACTATTTAAAAAATTAAAAATTAAAATGATCATATATATATATATATATATTATAGGAGAATTTTATCTTTAGATATTATGCCTTGATTTTTTTTTAAAATGCTTTTAACCAAAACCATCTACAGAAAGTCAATCCTATTAATCAGATTGGCCCTTCGAGGGTTATACCGACATTAACGCGGGAAGTTAAATAACTTACAAATAAGGCATTAACCGGGGGGTGGGGGACTGAAACTGAAAACTAATCTGACGGCTTGGATTCATCCAATCGTAGATACTAAACAACATCGGAAAAGTACGGCGCACAGTGCGTACCATTTGGATTAGTTTTCTTAAAGATTAAATTTTCTATTCAAAGATCTAAAAAACCAAACCCTTAAATTTGATATATTTTAAATCTAATCTCTAATTTTGAATTTGTATTAATCTTAAGTTTTATATAAAAATGATTATCAAACTTAAATTTTCAATCATTTTAACGATGAAATAATATAATTTCAAAAATTTCAAGTATATTGGGAGATTAAAAAACGGTTAAAACCCTATCCCCACTCCAGTCCACGATTCATGACTTTTATTTCAACGAGTAAGTGAAAAGAAAAGAAAAAAACAATACCCCATATCCACAAAGCCAAATCTCTTTGCTTGAATCCTCTTCTCTTTCAAGGAAAACCTGAACCTCAATTATCTTTTCTCTTCTTCTCCTCTCTTTCTATATCTATCTTCAGTAACTTTGCTCATTATTTCTCCATGCCAACAAGCTTCTAGAGCTTCTACTCATCAAAGCTCACCAAAATCCCCACTAAAAGGCTAACAAATAGCTCCTCCTGCTACTGTATATATTCAACTTCAACTGCTCTTTCTCTCTCACCCTTCTGCAAGGAAAGCTTGTGAAACTAAGGCCATGGTGGACTCGGACACTGAGTCGGGAGGAGCTCAAAACAACGCTTCCAACGCAGATCTTTCTTCCCCGAAAGAACAAGACAGGTTCTTGCCCATCGCCAACGTCAGCAGGATCATGAAAAAGGCTCTGCCAGCCAACGCCAAGATATCCAAGGACGCCAAAGAGACGGTGCAAGAATGTGTGTCGGAGTTCATCAGCTTCATCACCGGGGAAGCGTCTGATAAGTGCCAGAAAGAGAAGAGGAAGACCATCAACGGCGACGATCTCTTGTGGGCCATGACCACGTTGGGCTTCGAGGATTACGTCGAGCCCTTGAAGGTTTACTTGCAGAGGTTTAGGGAGATGGAGGGAGAGAAGACCGCGGTAGCACGTGATAAAGACGGGCCTCTCGGTGGTGATTCCAGTGCCGGTAGTAGTGGGATGTATGGGATGATGGTACACCACCAGCAGCATCAAGGGCATGTCTATGGTTCTAGCGGGTTTCATCAGATGGGTAGGGGCCCAAGGTAGTTCTTTCGTATTGACACGTGTATGGTTACTATTAGTTTGATGGAAAAATCTGGTTTGGTTTAGTTTGAGCAGACCGGAAATTGGATTGGTCTAATTTATTATTGGGACACGTGTAGTGTTGTGATAGCTTGTATGTTTCTGAAGAAAGTGGAGGCGATTTCACACCCTTGGATTGAGGTTTGTGCTAGATTGTATCTACAAAATTAGAGATATTTTAAGGATTAGGAATCACGCATACGTTTGGTTTACCATAAAAAGAAAAAAAATCATAAATTATGTTTTAGAAAAATACTTGGATTAAATAATTGTGTGATTTTCATATATTTGTATTGTTTATACTAGAATTTGCACGAAGTATAATTTTTTTATTTGAACAAAATATTCTTTATTCTAATTAGAATTTATATTTTTTTATGAAGTTTTTTTTTGATATATTTCTGAAATATTTTATTTTAAATTTTAATAATTTATTTTATAAATATTATAATGTTTTTAGATATTTGTTTTCAATAATTTATAATTAAATTGATGACTGCATTGGTATTTTTTTAAAAGAAATAACTAATTTTATTCAAATAAGAAAACATTCTAAATTATAATAAAGATTTACAATTATAATATTTAATTAAGAACATAATTGGGATAATTTTTTATAATTATTAAAATAAAATTAATAACTTAAAATCACTTAAGTATCGTATAATGAAATATTAAAATTTAATTAAGAAAATTCGAACAAAGATAAATACAAAAAGATTTGATTACATCGACAAACGAATTAAAAAAAGAGATCAAATTATTGAAAGACTACTGACAAACGCAAATCATACTCGAGCGACATGAAAAATTATCCATGAACGTATCACGGGTATCCAAATTTAATTCGATGATCTAAAGCATAGAAGATCAACAATATAACAAATAAACGTCATATTTATCAGTCGTAATAATGTCTAATCAACCCTTAAAAAATGATAAATGAAAACAACAGTAAAAAAAAGTCAAAAGATATAAGAAAATGTGTCATAAAAACAGAGAAAAATTTGTTATACATATATACTTATTAAAAATAAAAATAAGAGAATAAAATGACAATAATTTTTTTGAAAATTGACAACCAATATTAAAATTAGTGTCGTCATTGATCAACAAAAAAAATAAAAAGAAAAAAATATAAACAACTTCCTAATGAGAGAAAATTAAAAGAAAACTAAAAAATCATGTTATATATTCAATTTAGAGATATACATAGGTTGAATTTCGACTAACCCGATCCGATCAAAAAATTCATCAATTCACAAGCTAGTTGATTTGAAATCGAGCGAAAGAAAAGAAAATCTTAATTGTCTAAGATGCTGCGGCTGCCATGTGTCCCCCACTAAGAACCTAGTTGGTTGCATCGCTCCTTTATTAGTGGGCGGACTGAGTTTCATCAATTCAGAGCTAGGTTGAGTGCTTGTATAAATCCACAGTCAACCACTACAGTTTGCTACATTATATGTCAGCAGAGATAAGTCGAAGGGTAGGCTGAGATAGTTGTCTTTAATTTTTTTAATTAATATATATTTTAAATATTTTCTTTATATTTTTAATTGATATTATTTTTTCGTCTTAAAATTTTATAAGTTCATTATTTGTTATATTTTTTAAAAAAAACCGCCCTCTCAAGATAATATATTGTATCTATCACCGTGAGTCAAATCTTAAAATTTTATCATTGTTAATAGAGGCTCTTCGTGAACAATTGCTCACAAATTCATTAATTGGTGCATTTTAAATATATCTATATATCATTTTAATCCTCTAGATTTTATTGATAGTAACCTGTAATATTCTCAAAGAGAACCAGGTGAATGTATACAAGAGGAGAGCAGCTTGAAGATACCTTAGTACTAATCTGCATGAGTATATCCTGTAAAAGACAACCGAGAAGACTTAGTAAAACGCAGCCCAAAGTCAAGAGTACCTTGAAGATACCTCAAGATTCGTTTAACAGCATGAAAATGCTCAACAAGATTCTGCATGAACTGACAAAACCGATTAACAGCAAGCGATATATCAGGCCGAGTAATAGTAACATACTATAGAGAACCGACAATACTCCTCTACTCCGAGGGATTCAAGAGAGGAGATCCCTTATGCACAGACAGTTTACAACTCGAAACCATAGGTGTAGGCAACCCTCGAGCACCATCAAAACCATACTTGGTCAATAATTCTTCTACATACTTACGCTGATAAGAAAAACTCCGCGAGAAGTATAGGTAACCTGAACACCCAAAAAATAATTCAGCTGACTAAGATCTTTCAAAGAAAAATCTTTGTCAAGGTTAGAAATAACTGTTTCAACCTGAGCAGAATCATTCCCAGTAACAATGATATTATCTACATAAACTATGAGATAGACCAACTTATGACCAATACATTTCACAAACAGAGAGTCATCTGACTTTGACAAAGTAAAACCAACAGTAAGCAAATAATTTCTCAATTTCTCAAACCAAAGCCCGAGGAGCTTGCTAGAGCCCATAGATGGCTTTGTTCAAGCAACAGACCATTACCTTTTTATCACCTGCCTCATAACCAGGTGGCTGAGACCTCGGTGAGATCCCCGTTTAAAAAAGCATTATTAACATCTATTTGACGAAGACCCCACCCCTTCTACACAGCAATGGAAAGATTAGTCCGAATAGTAACCGGTTTGGCAACCGGGCTAAAGGTTTCATCATAATCACGACCAGCTTGTTGCAAATACCCCTTAGCAACAAGCCAAGCTTTGTAGCGAGCAATAGTTCCATCAGCATTTTTCTTCCACTTACAACAAACTGCCCGTCGATGAGAATGCAGCTCAGTCAACGTCCAGGTGTTATTCTTCAAAAGCGCATCATACTCAGCTTGTGCAACTGCTTCTCAATCAGGACTAAGAAACGCTTCCTCAATAGTGGTAGGTTCAACTTCAGACTGTAACTTCTTTGCTGCAAGAAACACCCTAGGTTTCCGAATGCCATTCTTGCTCCTGGTCACCATGGGATGTCTATTAGACACATCACCCTGTTCTTTACCAGAGGCTCCAATTGGAACAACGTCAACATCATCAGCAGCAGAATTATCAGGAACTGACTGTGGAATTAGAGAAGGTTCTGAAGCTGCAGCCACATCAGACACCTCTCTAGGACCATCAGAACACCCTGCACCACAAACCCCATCAGACAAACCATAAGGAAAATTCTGAGTACCAGGAAAATCATTAACAAATTGTCGCAAAGAATGCACAGATAAACCATCAGAAGGATCAGGCAGATTAGCAGGAAAACTGACTACATGAACATCAGGAGGAACTTCAACACCAACACTACGAAGATCATCAGGCATAGATATGAGACTTGAGACAAATGAGACTTGAGCCACACATCCAAAACAACGACGCGTTTCCCCTTATTTTCGGTTGGGAAGACGGTTAATTGTCCTCTCTCGAGCACTTCTGGGCCATGGCCAGAACCCTTAAAAGTCCGAAAATTGCAACAGGGGCTGGTCCCTATACATCAGGCACCACCAAATGAAAGGGGAAGTATATATTGTCTCGGACAAAGAAAAGGGCAACTTATGTGCTTACCCTGTAAACAAGAAGGACAAACAGCAGACATCTTATTACTACTAATAGGAATATTACAAGAATTAAGAAGAGTCTTAAGAACACTCAAAGAAGGGTGCCCAAGATGACGATGCCACAACTCAAGAGATCCTCGAGTCCGAGACACGGAATTAAGCTCAGCAGAACCCGAGATGCCAGAATCACCACTGGTCAGACATCGAATTTCATACAAACCATCAGTATTGCGCCTCCCTCGCAGTAACACCGCCTGCGTCTGAGAATCCTTCACGAAACACTCATGAGGATGAAACTCAAAAAATAAAGAATTGTCGTGTGTCAAACAGATAACAAATTCTTTTTAATCGAAGGAACAAACAACATATTTTCTAAACGTAGAACACTAGAACCAGTAGAAAGCATACCACGACCAATAATCGAACTTCTTCTCCATTGCCCATAAGGAGAGAATAGTACATGTATACGGAGACTGAGACTGAAGAAAAGCACAATCATTGGTAATATGATGCGTGGCACCTGAGTCGGGATTCCAACAGACCTCACGGCCCATAGTGGAAGAGAAAGCACTCGGATAACTCGAGAAAGGAGAAGGAACGAACGAAGATGGAGGAGCGAGAAGGACAGAAACAGTACCAGGAGAAGAGACTGAAGGAAAAGCATTCTGCATATAATACCCAACCTGAGAAACATGAGCATTAAACCGCGACGATCTAGTGCCCAAGACAGAAGTATGGGAAAACGAATCAACTAGAACCCTAGGCGGTGCCTCATTAAACACACTCTAATCACATAGCATCATTGGTCTTGAAACCAAAAAAGTAGAAACCGAAGCGGCATAGGGCCTTGCTGAGTAACCAGAAAAATTCAACCCATATGTTTCCATCTGCCCAGATCCACTTAAATTAGTTGGATCAAACACTTCGGTCACAGCCTGCCCATGAGTACCGGAACCAGAAACTGTGGAGAGATGGCCTTACTGATTCTGATCACCACCTGAAGTATTCCCAGAACCAGAAGCAGCCATTGAAGAACTGCCGTGAAAAGTATGATCAAATCTATAATAACACTTATGAACAAGGTGCCCAAACTTTCCACATAGCTGACATGGAGGATGATTGTTAAATCGACCACGTCCTCTGCCACGTCCAGAAGTGCCACCGGCACGAGAACCACCATCAGCAGAATCATTCGAAACCGACCGACCACCGGAACCTTCTTTACCTGAGAGTCATTCTCCTGATTGAAAAGTGTCATGATGAGAGGCAACATTTTCCTGTATCAATAAAGAGTCAGAAAGAAACTCTTTATAACGAGCTTCATAATCAAGAAGCATATCTGTCAACGAAGAAAACGTCACCATCTCCTTCGACGCAATAGCTATCACCGACTCAAATTCAGCAGGGAGTCCAGCCAGAGGCCCAGAATAACACTGACCTGCTCTTGCTCCGTAATAACAGTACCAGCAGCAAACAGAGTGTCACAAATTGACTTTAGCAAGAAACTCACTAATGGACAACTAACGTTTCTTCTGAGAATGAAGAGAGTGCCTGAGAGCAGAAACTTCAGCACAAGAATGTGCCCCAAACAACCTGGAAGTTGCACTCCATATATCACCAGCCGTAGTCAACACAATCAAATGAGGCAAAACCTTAGACGAAACCGTAGAGAGCAACCAAGAAGCCAGAAGCTTATCTTGTTGACGATAAGCAAGAAACCGAGGATTCTCAACCTGCGAGCCTTCATTCGAAACAACAAACTGCTTAGGAGGAAGAGATCCCTCAGAAATGTATGGTAACAAGCCATAACCATCAACGATCAACAGAGCCTGATGCTTCCAGAGAATAAAATTTGTTTCTGAAAGCCTAACCGTATCAAGCTTTGGCAACTGCTGAAAACCCCTAGAGGTTGAAGACATGGCATCCAAAGAATCACCCATCGAAATGGAGCAGCACAGCAAACCCCTAACAATATCACTAACAAACAAAGAAAGCAATGGAATAAAAAATGGCGAATAATACCATGATAAAATAGTAAAAGAGAGACGACACCCTCTAGATTTTCTTGATAGTAACCTGTAATATTCTCAAAGAAAACCAGGAGAATTTATGCAAGAGGAGAGCAGCTGTTAATGACTGATAACAGAAATCTAACAAACTCTAACAACTTAACCAATCACTAACATCATACCAGCTCACTGGTGCAGCACAACAAACCCCTAACAATATCATACTAGTTGCACTCAGTGATCCCTTACAGTGTAAAGCGTGAGAAGCGTCTCGTGTCCTTTCGTGCCTTAAAAAATGTACATAATGACTGAAATTCTCTCATGAAGGGATTTAAGCCTCTCTTATGGTAGTACTCAAGCCCTTGTCCTAAGACTTGGAGGACATTTTTTTTGGATATGGCATGTAGTACTTGGACTATCAAATTCCATTCCTTTTAATATGGAATAGCATACACTGTTTATTTTTTAAAGACAAATTCAACGAATAGTCATAATGATAAAAGATATTAATAATAGCAACAATTAAACTATGATTTTTTAATAAGATATTAAATTACTTTTAGGGTCAAAAGTACTTTAAAATAGTTACAATCTTATTAACAATTAAAGCATAGTCGGAAAAAAATTATTTGATGGAGCTTCTTATAACTGTCTAGATACATGATATTGATACCAAAAAGAAAAAAGAAAAGAATTAGACACATGACACTAATGATATATCACATTTAATTATTTTTTAATTCACATGTTTTAGTTTTTATTTAAATTCGATTTTTTATAACTACATATTATTTACATAGGATGAAGGCTATGATCTTTTAGTTGTCAAAACCTCGGCATACATCGTCATGAACAAAGGCTCCACCTGCAATATGGAAAAAATAATTGTAAGAGTTGGTTTATTTTATTTTATATATTAACCATCAATTGGTTTAATAGAATAAAATATTCATTAAATAATTTAAATAAAGTTAAGAGTGAATTATGACGTTGTGAATAAGAAATAAATTATATTAGGAGCATCACCCTTATAATAAATCTTTATAATATATAATCTAAATTAATCGTTCAATATATTAGATATTAGTGATTAATAATAATAATAATAATTGTGTAAGTTTTGAAGTTTAAAGAGCTCTATAGGTTATTTACTTTCTCCTTATAAAATAAAATGAAAATAAAAATAGTCTGAATTTAGTAATATTTTGGAGACATAATGACAAAAATGTTGTTAACGTTTAGTTAAATAATTATTTTAGTTTTTATTCCTTTTTCGGGTATTTACCATGTCTTATTTTAGCAAATGTTTATAATATTTGATTAAATAGTCACTTTAGTAATTATTCATTTTTAGAGTGTTTTGACTCCTAATATTTTATTTTAGGACAAAAATGTTCCTATTTTAGAGTGTAATTGTTTGATGATCAATGATTTTCATCCCCAATGAGTCTTTTTGTTTCTAAATAAAATTTTGACGAATAAAATGTTAAAAAATAAAATAAGAGTTAAAATAATTATTTTATCAAATATTAAAAGTATTTATATTATTATGCATAATTTTAAATTTAATTTAAAATATTTTTACTCAAATTGGTCACGATGTTTGATTTTTGGTCGGTTTGATGACTTGACGTTATGAGTGTGGAGCACATAGCATGATTTCGAAATGGCGTGTTATCAAATAGACTAAATGAAAAAAGTTGTTAAATTTAGGGATCAAATTGAAAAATAATTCTAAGTGGAGAGACTGTTAGTTGATTTATCCCAGATAACACCTAACACTTTTTCCCCTCAAAAAAGGAGAATATTGAAGAAGAAATTCACAATTAATTTATTAGATTTTCCTTTGGTTTTTGTTCTATCTCTTTGCAAAGCCAAAGAATTGATGAGAACAAATTTTTAAAAAATGGCGTGCAAGTGTGGAGGCTACTGCTACACTTTGAACGGAAGAGCGAGCTTCGATCGCAACTCAGTGAAAACGCGTAAATTTTTTGTTCAAAACTTTCCGGCGGCCCGCATGTTCGCAAACGGAAGTTTCTTCTTTCCTACTAAATGGCGATCCGTTGCTGGTAACCATCGCATTTTGAGGTCAGTGAGTTACATTTCATTTTAACTCTCTGCTTCCGTGCTTCGTGTTTGATTGCCTTGGAAATTAATACAAAACGAAAAATTTGATATCCCTGCCTACTTTTTTCTTCTTCTTATAATTAGTTTTGAATCAGAGCGCCGAATTGGATGCATTAATTTTTTGCAATGAAGAAATTGATTTTTCATATCTTTTGAACTGTACACGGAAGTTAATGAATGCTTGTCTGTATATAAAATAAGATAATTAGTAAGAAAAAATTGAATTGATATAAATCAACATCAGTTTCTGTTAGTGCAGAAATGTGATAATATATAAAAAAAATCTTTATTTAATAAATCAGTTGTGAGAAACTATAACGATTCTGATTTTGAATGATAAATCCACGTTATTAGCTGTTAGACAAGTTAGCCAATCGTCCATTAGGAAACTGGATTCTGTTTAGTATGGGAATTTACAGCACTATAACGAGAAACAGAATGAAAATGATTTCGTGGGCTCAATTCCATTAGTTAGTATTGTTTTTTGCTTTAAAAACAAAGCTCAAGTTTATAGTTGTGAACTTGTGATTGGACGAAATTATCTTAGTTCTGTGAAATAAACATGTGTTTTTTCTTTCATGGCTGAATAAATGTTGCTCGGTTCTATGTTACTTCTTTGTTCATCTTTTAGGTTCCTAAAACCAGTTTCTGTTTTTACAAGTTTCAGCCCAGGTTGCTTATATTGTGGTGATGGAATATCAATTAGCAAATTTACTGAACTTAAACGTTTAATGTTCCTTTTTCTTTTTCTTTTAAAGAATCTCCTTAGCTTATTTTTCGTACCTTGCTCTGATGTGTTACTATGGCTATCTTGCAGTATGGATGCCCAAGAGAAATCAAGATCGACGACACTGGAATCATCAAAAAATAAGAGGGTTCCTATTTTTGTAATGATGCCTGTGGATACATTTGGTTTTGATGCATCTGGACGTCCAAGGATTAGAAAGTGAGATTTTGGTGTCACTCTTGCTTCGTTACCATTATTTGTAATGGTTTGGAAATACAGATCTCAATCATTCTCGTCTAAACCTAGGAGAATATAGTCACCTTTGAACTAATTAGCATGATAATACCATTGGATCTATTTCTCTCTCTTTTTTGATATCTTAAATCTTAGATACTATGTCTTTGTTTTCTTTTGAAAGTAACTTTTTTGTCGGTGTTTGTTGTTTCAGAATCAAGGCCATAACTGTATCTCTAAAAGCACTTAAGTTGGCAGGTGTTCGGGGAATTGGAGTTGAGGTTTGGTGGGGAATAGTGGAGCGGTTTTCTCCCTTTGACTACAATTGGTCCCTATATGAAAAGCTTTTTAAGTTGATATCCGAGTCAGGACTGAAGTTGCAGGTTGCTTTGTCTTTTCACTCAAATATTTACTCATCTACTGGAAATGGGGGTGTGAGTCTTCCACTATGGATTTTAGAGGTTTGACCAATGTACCTGTAACTCTTCCATGTAATTGTAAACTAAGTGATAATTGCCCGGTTGGATTTTAAAGGTCCTTTTAACCCTTTGTATTTTTTTTGTGCAACTAGTTAGACTAGTTGGAATCTAGCAATCCAATACACCAATGGTGATGTTTAGGAGGGAAAAGTTATCTGGTTTTCCTATTTTTAATATCCCTACCACCAATCCTTTGTGCTAGGTGATCTACTATTCTAATCCTATATGTAAGACTGCATTCAGTCTTCCACTTTGGATGAAGCTACTCCAGTGAAAAGTTTACTAGATGATTAATACATAAAGAGCCTTCTTTGTTCTATGATTATTGATACTGCTAATATACCGCTAACTAATACATTTTTTACCTCAGATTGGTGATTTAAATAAAGATATTTACTATCGAGATCGACATGGAGTCTCCAACAATGATTATCTTACACTAGGGGTGGACCAAGTTCCTCTTTTATCTGGGCGGACTGCCCTTCAATGTTATGAGGACTTCATGCATAGTTTTGTTAACAAGTTTGAATCCTTTATCGGAAGTGTAATAGAAGAAATAAGCATTGGTCTTGGTCCTTCGGGAGAACTTAGGTATTGTATAGATCTTATGTCATTCATTTCCTCTTTTTGTTCATAAATCTCGAGTTATTATTGAAACAAAACTATGAAGCAGTTGCATTAATTTTTTTAGTGCAGGTATCCTGCTCATCCTTTTGGTGATGGTAGATGGAAATTCCCTGGGATTGGTGAATTCCAGTGTTATGATAAGTACATGTAGGTGTAAAGCTTCTTCATCCTATGAAGCAAACTCAGTTGTTTCAGTATTCTCAAGATAGCTTTGTTTACAGGATGGAGGACTTAAAGATGGCTGCGTGCCAAGAAGGAAAGCCTCAATGGGGGTACAGGGGGCCACAGAACGCTGGCTGTTACAACAGTCTTCCAACAGGTGTGCCCTTCTTTGAAGAGGGACAAGAAAGCTTTCTATCTGATTATGGTTGTTTCTTCCTGGTATATTCTTTATCTGTCAATATTTTCATTCCAGAAATCTTGGGAGAATATGTTCTACAACATTTATGCAATATCTCTGCTGCTACAATACATTAACTGGAAAAGAACTCAGCCTGACCTTTTGAGTTTGATTCGTTGACAAGATATTTGAAATACTTGAGTGTTTTACTGACTACCGATTTCAATATTCCTTGACAATCACAGTGATAGGTTATTTATTATCACTACAACATTTTAATTCTGTAATAAGTTACTCATCTACTTAAATGGTTAATTTTAGTTCGAGTGTTAGGTTATTTATTATCATTACCGCATATTTTCATTTTAACACCATGTTGTCAGAAATCCAGTACGTAAAACTTACCTAGAGATATGTTTACCAACTCTTTATTTTTCTCAAAGCATAAATGTCCGGCCCACACCTAGATATGGGGATAGGGATACGAGCATTTGACCCTCCAAACACATGGAAAAATCTGAACATAACCATGTTGGACACATATTCATATCCGACTCTCACACCTAAGTTTTAGTAGCATATATCTAGAGTTATGAAGTGTCTAAAAAAACAAAAATTTGGAATAACATTTTGCAGGAATGGTACAGTGGTAGGTTGATTTATCATGCAGATGCCATTCTTGCAAGGGCAGCAAAGATACTGAAAAAGTACCAAGAAAATGAGCAAACTTCTTTTATGTTGGTGGCTAAAATTGGTGGAATATATTGGTGGTACAAGACTGTATCACACCCTGCTGAACTTACTGCTGGTTATTACAACACCGCTCTCAGGGATGGTTACGATCCTGTCATCTCAGTGTTGTCTCGTCATGGAGCTGCTTTGCATATTCCGTTAGAATTTCATCTTTATTTAGTTCAACTTGTTTTTTCTCATTATTTACCTTGATAGGCATTTGTTTGGTTCGGTTTCTTTTCCAGTAACTTTTCAGCATAATGTTCATCTAAAAACTGATTGACATGCAAGGCTCTAAGTCTATGTTGCTCCCACTCTTCATTTTTTTTTTGATGGACCCATGTCTGACATCCATGACCAACCCATGTCTGGATGTGGGTATGGGGATATGATCCTCCAAGGGGTCTCCAAATACATGGAATTCTTGAAAACAATTGAACCTACTTGTGTCGGACACATTCCCTTTTTCAGCACTCACTCGCAACTCTGAGTAACATAGAATCTCTTGAATGAATTTTTTTTTTTTTGTAGAAAGTTCGAAACCAATTTGATTCACAAGGTTAAAGTTTACGAGACGAAGCATATGGTGTTTACAGTTTAATGAGCATCAATCTTGTTTGAAGTTTGACTTGCTTTCCTATGTTGATATTCTATGCCTCTTCGTTGTCTCCCCCCTCTTATCTAAGCTCATGCACAAATGACGTTCATATACATTTTCAGTCATATTTCTTCATTTTCATTTCTTTAATCTTCCCTGCAGCTGCTTAGAGATGATGGACAGTGAAACCCCACCAACGTATCTCTGCAGTCCTGAAGGATTACTGAAACAGGTATGGTTTATCTATCTATTGACAAACTTCTGATTTGTTCTTTCGTGAAACTGTGACTTTACACGATTCAATTTTTTCTACTTAAATCTACAAAAGGTACCATTTGTTTATCTGAATTTTATTTTTTTAATTGATTAAAGAAGTTGAGGTTGTTTAAGATTACATGATATATGATTTTAACTGATTAAGAGCATCAAATGTTATCTCTTCTCCATGGCGAGTGTCTCCTGCTGGGGGCTAATTTCTGTTTCCTTCTGAGTTTCCAATGCAGATACAGTTCGTATCAAAGAAACAGATTATTAACTTGGTTGGAAGAAATACAACCGAACGGCTCGACAGAGTAATATGATCCTAACTTAATACACTGTTTTCTTTTCTTTTTCCTTCTGGTAATGATTAATGTTGCACTTGTGATGGTTTTTAACTCTTCCAACCAAGGTAACCTATGTTGCTCTGGGCCGTCGGCTCTTTATTTCTTTTTAAGTATACATTTCCGGCACTTGTATCCAGTATCCACCGCATATCTAAACGTGTATAGGGATGTAACCCTCCAAATACACAGTAAAACTCAGAGAATAATGAACCTAACTCTGTTGAACACATTTGTATCCAATGCTTACACTGAATCCAAATAACTTAGAGGGTAACCCTGATGCTCAGATGGTTCACTTCATTTCCAGTTTGGCACTAGGTTTTCACAATTATTTTTATATCTTTATCTAGCTTTGTTTTCTATGGTTTTGTGATCAATTATTTCTTTTAAAACTTTTTTTATGGACCAGAATTTTCTTTTCCAACATATCTCATATTTGGACTCTCTCAATTGCAGACTGGACTTCAGAAAATTCATTCGAACTGTTTCGATCCTCGGGCGGAAATTGTAAGATCTTTTACTTATTTCAGAATGAATGATCATATATTTAGGGTTGAAAATTGGAATAACTTTGTACCTTTTGTCAGAATGATGAGCGCAGATCTGTAAATTCTCCAGTTTACTAAAGCTAATTAAAGATCACCCTGCCCCTATCTTAGGTTTTTTTTTCCTGACTGGGGAATTGGGAAATTTGCAAAACATTCTCTAGCCTCATCATATAGGCATAACATGATTTTTCTTTTATGTGATATTGCTTGTAGTTGTTGTAGGTTTTCATATGTGGCATTAATAATCATTACTTCAATGATAATTTAAATTTAAAATGAATTTGATATAATTATTTAAAAATGCATATTTGTTATTGCTGATAAGATATTTGTTTAGTGGCAACACAACCCCCAAAGATTTCAAATTAAAGCTGACATCCTTTCAAATAAACTCCTCCCAAATTGTTGAAGAATTTGTCCTACAAACAAATCGTTGGTTTTTATAATTATGATTAAATTAATAAAATGTATAAATATTGAAAAATAAATTTATTTGTTTTTTAAATCAATACTAAATTGAAAAATATGTAAGTATTCAAAACTAAATCTATAATTATACCAATAAAAACAAATGATATCATGTATTATTTTTAAAATTAACATAAATAAAATTATTTCGTTCATTTTATTCATTATAAAAAGTATAAAGACTCAAAAAATTCTTTTTATTTTATAAAATGATTTTGATTTTATCTTTGCATCTTCTTTTCCAACAATTTCCCCCTCTTACAATAATTCCAAATAGAAATATATTCACTTTATATTAATCATATATTTATGTTATATATTTTAAATTATAAAAATATAATAATTAATTACGAATATTATATTTATTTATATTTTATTCTTGAAACCTGAATTTTTAATAAATCACCCTCTTCGTAAAAGATAATGACAATTTATCTCATATCCCCTTCTAGGAAGTAGATATTCCCCTACTGCCAATAACCCAGACCTTACAAATCCTTTCCTCCCCTCTCCTCGTCTCTCATCTTAGCTTCTGCAACATCTCCACTGTAAAAGCAACCTAAAGATCTTCAAAACAAGATGTTTTTATGTAATCCCATCACTTCACCATCAGTTCCTTTAACCTTATCTCCAAAAACCTATTACTCCCCTTCACTCTCCTCTCTCAAAACACCAAACTTTCCCAACAAAGGGAACAACCCAACAAGGAGAAAGCTTCTGATAGTCCAAGCTAAAGGGAGGACTCAGCTGATGGCCCCGACAGGCTAATTTCCGCCATATGTTATTTCTATCCTTTCTTTGACGGCATCCAATATGGGAAGTATGTCATAACACAGTTCACTCCGATCCAGGTGCTGATACAACCACTTTTCCCGGCCATCAAGGTGTTCAAAAGCTTCCCCTTGAATGGGTTTTTGGTGTTCTTGACTCTCTACTTCGTGGTTGTTAGGAACCCTAATTTCAGTAGGTATGTGAGGTTCAACACTATGCAGGCGATCGTGCTTGATGTTCTGTTGATATTCCCCGATCTGTTGGAGAGGAGTTTCAATCCGAAAGAAGGATTGGGATTGGATTTGGTGATGAGCGTGGATAGCACTGTGTTCTTGTTCCTTTTGGTTTGTTTGATTTATGGGTCGTCGTCTTGCTTGTTTGGGCAGTTGCCTAGGCTGCCTATCGTTGCTGAAGCTGCTGATAGGCAAGTTCTTTGAATGGCCCTTAAACCTTGAACCAATTTGTTGGTTGGATTGTCTTGGGGAAATTTTGGCAGCTTGATTCACTTGTCCTAAGCAGAAAATGAAGATATGCATTATTGATTATTACTTGCTTTTATGTTTTAAATTTGCTAGAAATGTGTATTTATTCATAAGGATGGATAATGATTAGTTGAATTGGGATGATTTGCATGGTAATTTGTAAAACTATGGCATCCAAATATGTCCTTTTTAATTCGTAAAATATCTTCTGTTAACGAAAAATAGTCTGCACTTGTTTGGATAATCTAAGATGGTAATAAAATAATATTTGTTTAAAAATTATAAAGATAACATTCACACCTTGAATACATAATCTGTATTTATTTATATACTCTACAACATGGCTGTCTATATTAAACTTTGATTTGAAAATTTACGAGTAAAGTAATACATAAATGCTGGAATGATATATAGTGCAGCCAAAATTGCAAAATCTAAAAATTTGGGTAATAATCAAAGTTATTATTCGAAACTAATATTTACAATCAAATCGAAATAATAAATTAAAACTAGTCAAATTAATTATTGTGGGTAATGATAAGATGCATTATATCTTCCAATGAATTTTTCAACTGTCTTAACTTGGTTGCAATTAATGGGCTGGATTAGAAACAATTTAATAAATACTTTTAACATGACAACAGTATTGGGCGGATCCAAATTTTATTGTATTCCCACATCTGCCAGAATTATTGGCCCAATTCAAAATTGTTTTTTCTGGTATAATACTAAAAAACCTTCGATGTTTGTTGTTTTTTAATAAATATTAATTTAAAAAATCATAGATTTATATTTTTAATCATTCATATAATACAATAAAAATTAAAATACTTAATTCAATTAAAAAAAATCAAATACCACGTTTGTTGAAAAAGTTGAGCAATTTTTTTTCTAACAATGTGTAAAAAATTAAAATGTACTTTTCAGATTTTATGCATGTACGATAGTATAGATTGTTAAATGATAGTTTTTGAAAATCGCTATAATCCATACAACTTTCAATGAATATTATAGTAGAGACCATAACTAAGATATAATAATTTTCCTTTACCCCTTGCATGATCAAGGTTTTTTCCTTTCAAAGGTATGATCTTTTGGGATTTAGTTCTAAAGTTGAGCGCTATGACAGTGAGAGTCATAACCGTCAAATGTTTATCGCGTTGTGAAGCCCTTTGTCGGTGGCCGGTGGGATTTCGCTAACGTCACAATACCCGTTCACTTGCCATCCACGTGGTACCCTCTCTAGCTGTTTTCGGGACCACGTAGCACAGGGTCCCACCACATTGCATGAAACTTAAGTCCCCTCTCGGCTTGCCCGTTTTGCCCTCTTATTTTCATAAAACTACGGTAATACCCCAAACATTGGCTTGGTTATTTTCTCATGAAGTCTTGACCATTTTGATCTTTGCCGACAGGCGGACGCCGTCAAGTTGGCACATGTGGTTAAATCGGACGGTGCTAAATTATCCAAATTTTAGATAAAAATATTATTAACTGTTTTTTTCCTTTCAAAACATTCCATATTATTATAATTTATAAACATTCCTATGTTTTTATCAATAACTTGTAATGAAGTTTAAAAATAATCTAAAATATTTTCTTTGTGCGTTATCCACAATATTAATTAACAAGACCCATGATCTTTGTTTGACTAAGAATTTGTAGAGAAAAGAGGGCATGTGATTGGGTGATATTATTCTATGCTTGCGAAATGGTTTATTTGTAAACTAAAAATGCTTGATGAATGTTTCCTTGTGCTTCTCTACTCATAAAGTGTATTCCCTTTCCTTTTTGCAGTTTTATGCGTTTACTTTAACCTCAAGTTTTGGGTCTTAAACGCCACATCGCTTCCCTTCATTTCATTAATGCCTATGGAAATAATGCTTTCAATAGCACAAAACTATATTGACAATGTAAATACCCTATAAATACGACTGCTCAAACTTAATACCTTTAGGAATAACAACATCCTATTTTACCACCGAAACTAATTAATAACTTCACGCATGTTATATTAAAATTGTACATACATTAGCTTCACATGCAAAGCTTGATTCACAGGTTTTAAATATATTACATATTAAATTTTACCTGACACTTGATGTATACATTAAATTTAAATTGATTAGAGGATTTGATTAATGAAATATTTATTGATGGATTTACATATTAATTAGGGTGGACACTGACATTTGAAGTATTTTATTTATTTATTTTATTGATTATATTTAGTTATATATAAAAATTTAATTTTAATATATATATGTCTATTTTAAAAAATATTTATGAATCCTCTACAGTAATCTTATAGATCGAAAAGAAAAAAGAGACTAGAGTAGTATGAAGTTGATGGACCAATTCACAATCCGGCCATAGTTTGTAGACTTTTGGTGTAATTAATCCAAAATCAAAGTTATAGTTTAGTGGTTCATAGTAATTTAATCAAAACCCAAACCCATTTGCACAAACCAATCATTTTTCTGGTTAACCTTATATTGGGCACTGACAACCACAAAGCCATCTCTAAAACCCTGGTCTCTTCCTCTAACTCATCCAGCCAAAAACCAGTGGCAGAGTGGCTCACTCTGTAATTTAATCATATTCTAAGCCCCTCTTCCCCTCAAACTTCTTACCTTCCCCCCCCCCCCTACAAAAACTCTCACTTTCCGTTAGTTCTTCAAACCATTGAGAGAAGGAAAAACAAAACAACACAATGCAGCAAAGACAACAGCTTTTTCTCATTTTCTCACTGTTTCTCGTCTTCCAAACATCAAATGGCCATAACATCACACGTTTACTAGCAAAGCACTCATCTTTGTCAACATTCAACCACTACCTCACTCTCACGCACTTGGCTCAAGAGATCAACCGCCGCACGACGATCACCGTCCTCGCCATTGACAACGCTGCCATGTCATCTCTCTTATCCAAGAACCCTTCCATCTACACCATGAAAAACATATTTTCCCTCCACGTACTCCTCGATTACTTCGGTGCCAAGAAACTTCACCAGATAACCAATGGCACCGCACTGGCTGCCACCATGTTCCAAGCAACCGGTGTGGCTCCTGGGGTTTCTGGGTTCGTTAATATAACCGATTTCAAAGGAGGGAAAGTTGGTTTCGGAGCTGAAGATAATGGCGGTAGTTTGGATTCTTTCTTTGTTAAATCTGTTGAGGAACTTCCTTATAATATATCTGTGATTCAGATCAGCAAGCCTTTGCCTTCAGCTGTCGCCGAGGCTCCTACTCCGGGGCCGAGTGAGCTGAATATTACTGGGATAATGTCGGCACATGGATGTAAAGTGTTTGCTGATACACTTTTGGTGAATCCTGAAGCCATGGGAACATATGAGGTGAGCTGAAAATCTGTGTTTTGCTTTGTAAATTATTAGTAATTTTGATTGGTTGATTGATTCATTGCTTAAATATTTGATCTTTGATGCTGATTAGTGATAAAGAATGGAAAGGAATAAAGTGAAGAAAAGGTTAAAGAAATTAATGGGGTAGAGGAAAAGGGTAGAAAAAAAAGTTTATTTCTTGTCATTTGATTGGGTGATGATGGTGAGATTTTTGGTTTGAAATGGAGTTGTTGAAAGAAATAGTGTAAAAAGTATATTGAAAAAAGTATTGATAATGACACCTTGAGTTCTTCTTTTTCATGTGAATTTGTAGACAAGTTATAGATAATGTAACCCAGATCTGGGTTGTATTTTCTTTCCAGTTGGAAATGTTGAATTTGCATTAAAGCTATGTTTTTCGAATCGAATCGAGTGTATTATACGAATATGTTATGTCCGATATTAGTGTCTTATTTCGAGTTAGAAGTTGATTGGTACTCGGATTCGGATTCGGGTTTGTGTTGGTATATTTGGAGGATTGGTGAAGAGGCATATCGAAAACTGAGATGTAATAACTTCACGTTGCTAATGAAGAATATGTGGTAATGGTGACTTGCAGGATAATGTTAATGGAGGATTGACTGTGTTCTGCCCTCTGGACGATGCATTCAAAGCCTTTCTACCAAAGTTCAAGAACTTGACAGCCTCAGGGAAAGAATCATTCCTCGAGTTTTTCGGTGTGCCGGTGTACCAATCTCTATCCATGTTGAAATCCAACAATGGACTGATGAACACCTTAGCCACCGACGGAGCCAGCAAGTTCGATTTTACCGTTCAAAACGAGGGTGAAGAGGTGACGCTTAAGACCAAGATCAACACGGTGAAAATAACCGGGACTTTACTCGACGAACAGCCGGTTGCAATTTATACAATTGACAAGGTCTTGATGCCTAGAGAATTGTTCAAGGCAGCAGCCCCTACTCCTGCACCGGCCCCAGCCCCGGAGGAGGCAGCAGATGCACCAAAAGCATCCAAATCAAAATTCAAGTCCAAGTCGGCCCCGGAACCTGCATCAGAATCAGATTCGCCAGCAGATTCACCGGACGATGATCCAGCTGATCAGACAGCTGATGATAATGCAGCTGCGAGTTTTAAAGGTGGAAGGTTTGTTGTTGTTGGATTGAGCTTCTTGCTAGTGCTTTGGTTGCTTTAAGGATTTTTGTCATTTTACTTAAAACCTTCAATGTGTGTGTTTATTTTTATTTTTTGTATTGTTTTTTAAAGTGTGTTTATGTTAATTTTGTGTTAGATATATTAACTAAAGGTTTGCGATTTTAAGTTTGATTTTTGTATTACACATTGACGATTTTCATTCCAGCAGTTTTGATATCCTCCCTATATCAATTTGTGGTTATTGAGATTATTTATGAATTGTATTTTATAAATTATTCAAGGTTTGATTTTTATTTAATTGTTGGATTATTTATTACGACTATGTTAGTATAATATTTATAAAATAATTTATAATCTAATCGTTTTTATGTAATATTCAAATTATCTTTTTTTCAAACTTCGTTTTAAACGAATCTAATTTAAATGATGGTGTTGTTAAGCTCGACCAGCACAGATGAGCACCATTAAATTAATTAATAAAATATTAAATTGTTAAATACTAAATGTATAGTTATAAATTAGTTAATAATCTAAATGTAATGTAATTTAATTAAAATAAAATATTTATAAAACATCGGTTTTAAGATAAACTATATTATTGACCACCTAACTATTTATCTCTTTTACTTTAACCATCGATTTTTTAATTTTGTCACTGGGGTTACCTAACTATTTAAATATTGTCAATCAAGCCACCTACCATTAAATATTAACGGAAGAGATGATGTGGCAGTTAATAGATTTTTTTATAATTATACATTTAGTCCTCATTATTTATACATTCTATTAATTTGGTCATAACTTTTATTTAATTCGATAAATTCAATCCTCAATCCAATGATGACATGTATATTGGATTTTTTTGATATTTTTTATTTAATAAATTTTACATCCAATCAAATGGTGACACATGTCACCAACTGAATGAATGAAAAATTTATTAAATCAATAACCGATGTTGGTGGAGTTTGACCTAAGATACAACCCGAAAAACTAAGCACCTTAACCACTAAGTTGGACCACTACATTTGTCTAGTTTATATAACATATGTATATAATTTATAATATAGTTAATGGTAATAAATGATCTTATAAAGACTCAAACATGAAATAATTGAATAGTACGAAAATATAAAATATATATAAACAAATATTATAATTGATTAATAAATGAATATGTTTATTTATATTTTAATTCACATTTAATGAAAAAATTAAAAGAAAAGTGAATTTAAAATATCATAATTGAAATGTATCATTTTACATATTTTAAATTAATAAATTGTATTCATTATTCTAATTTTATTGAACTGAAATGTATCATATCTTATATTTTAAAATATTATAACGTCGATTGGATTCTAATCTTATTTAACAACTCTATATTAAAATAGACTAATTCAATAAAATAAAGTTTCCATAAAATTTTCTTCAAATATATAATGAATAAATAATAAAATATAAAATTCTTACTCTAACCGGGATATAAACAAGTCAATGCATAAATTAAAATGCTTACTACAATAAGCCCTCAACTATCAAGAAAATTCTAAGTCAACGAAGCTCTTCGTTATATTTTAATTATAATATATTAAATTTTATTTTTTGATTAAAATGATTTAAAATATAAATAAAATACATTCACATATTAATCAATTATAATATTTGTGTATATATATATATATATATCATATTATTGTATTATTCAATTATTTCATGTTAGAGTTCTTATTATGTCATTTTTTTTTCTTTTTATTGCCATTAACTATATATATTATCGTGTGATAGGTTCATCATTTGAATGGTGCAACCCAATGGTTAAAGTGTTTGCTTCATTTCTTCATGTCTTGGGTTCAGACCTACCAACAGCGAATATTGATTCAATTTATTTTATATTTATTTAATTGGTGATTCATGACACCATTTGATTGGATAAAAAATATTAAAATAAATAAAAATATTAAGAAAAAAAGTTCAATCACATAGTGACACATGTCACCATCTGATTGAGGATTAAATTTATTGAATTAATTAAAAGTTAGGACCAAATTAATAGAATGTGTAATTAATAAGGACTAAATATGTAATTATACAAATTTTATTAACTACTACGTCATCTCCTTCGTTAATATTTAACGACAAGTGGCTTGATTGACAATATTTAAATAGTTAGGTGACCCGATTGACAAAAAAGAAAAATCAATGGTTAAAGTAAAAGAGGTAAATAGTTAGATAGTCAATGATATAGTTTAGCCTAAAAACTAATGTTTTATAAATATTGTTTTTTAATTAAATTAAAGTTTGATTTTTAACTAATTTATAATTATACGTCTAATATTTTATAATTTAATGTTTTATAAAAAAACATAGTCATCAAGTATTGGGAGAGACAGTGACTAGCGATAGACATTTAATTCGAATTCGATAAATTTTAACTTGATTTAATTTTATAAAGTTAGAATTTTTTATTAAAGAAATCATATTTAAATTGAATTGAGATTTTCTTAAAATAAAATTAGATCGAGTTAGATTTATAGTAAAAGATATCGGTCCTGAAAATAATAATGTAGTTAATTTTTATATATTTAAAGATAATTGTTGCAATACTCTTCGCTCTAATAAAAATGAAAATTATATGTGTGTGAGGTTGAATGCGGGTTTTACCCTAAACATTGGACCGAATTTGGAATCAAGTGACAGCTGGAGAGATGTTTTACTCAAATCAAATTTGCGTGGGTTAAAAATCTGGACTGACCCACCTATAGTCATCCCTAATTATGACCCCTAAATTTTTTTATTATAATAATATTAATTTAAAACATATATTTAAATTAAGGTGTAGATACTTGAGGGTTGTGCAAAGAACGTCCTTCCGTGATTTTTAATATGCATAATTCAGAAACGCTAAAACAAAACATTCTGTTATTCTTATGTCAAAAGAAAAAAACATTATGTTATTCATGTCAAAATATATTGACTATATATAATACATAAATTGTAGCAAAGATTAAAACAAAAGCAAATTTGATCCCCAAGGGAAAGCTATGTCTAATTGGGTATGATGTCCCCATTCATCGTGTGCATGATCAGGGTCTCAAGGCCTGTTTTCTTATAGGAAATAGAATAGAGTGGATGCAGAGAGAAGGGTCTAAACAAGGAATCGAGTTGCTTAGTAAACTCGATGGTATCATCAATCTAGTTTTTCTTTTAGGGGTTGATACCAGACCTTGACTTACCCAGATCCTTGCTGTTCAAATAAAGGAAAGATGGCTGGTCGCTGAAATTCGATACCAGCTGCAGGGAAAACCCGGCATAACTTCTGTCTACCTTTGCCAAGCATAATTCATTAATGCGTCGGAAAAGCTCGTGCTTCTGGGCGAAAGGTTGAGCCGCATATTCTTCAAACGGCATCCACTGTGAAAAAATAAAAATAAAAACAGGGCAGGCGTACATGCATGTTCTTTTACACACTCTTAATTCAGGACTAGTCACTGAATGGAGGAATCAACTTGGAAAAATATGAGATGTACCTGGGCTGCCTCAATTTCTAGCTCTTGCTTCTGAATATCAAAGGATAGTGGATGCAACATGCATATGAAGAACATATCCGACTTCTCGAAGAATGTCTTGTGTGATTGCCTGAATTTAAGAAAATGATTTCAAAACAATGAAAATGATAGGGTACATAAATTGATAAATCTGGGAAAACCGATGCCAACCAAAAGCTAGTGCGCATGACTCGTTGAGTCAACTATAGTTTGTTTGATGGTATTTGCTATCGGGATAACTGAAGTACTTGAAGAGCTAAATTCATGCTTATCAAATATTGCACTACGTATACTCTCGCCTTATCCACATTTCTCAAATCCATTCCAATTTTGCAGAACCTGGTATTCTGTAACTATTATCTCATCCAAAACTTTCATAACCGTCATTTTAGATTTACGACCTTGTTTGACAATCATCGGCCAGTTCTAACTACACTAACTCGAAGAACAATAATGATATCAAGAGTCTATTTTCTTTTTGGTTTTCAAATATGCCCTTCATCCAAGCATGTCATGATTAGTAACATGTGTAATGTGAGTTGAAGCTATAAAACTGAATTTTTATTGAGATATAGTTGTGCGGTTTAAAAGCAAAAGGACGTGTTTGCTCATGCAAACATCATACCTGAAGCCTAGGACCTCCACAAACTCTGTCTCAATCTGAAAAAGTAAAAAATAGTGGTCTTCATAAGGCCATTAACGCTCATGTGAAATCCTAGGTGTATAAACAACAAATATTTATGTATACTCGTCACTTACTCCCGTCTCTTCTTTTACTTCTCTTATAGCTGCCACAGAAATATCCTCGCCCTGTTTGTAGAAGAGCTCATTTATCATTTGATAGCAACGGGAATTATATTTTTAGGCAACGTGGAAGTTCCTTATGATGGCACACCAAAAAATACCTCTTCAACCACCCCGGTAGGAATTTTCCATAAGCCTGTTCCTTGAAGAATGCCACTCTTTTCCTGAACTACGAGCACCTATCAACCAAGATCCTATTTAGAAGCACTATGAGAGAAATATTTTTGGGTTCATGAAACTGTTGGAATGCAAAAACGAAGTTTCGATCATTGCTTGTAACAGATAACTATAATATGTTAGAAAATGTCCTCTAGTTTACATCGTCAGCAGTCAAACCCAGACCAGATTCTGTAACAGGTGAAACTTATTATAACCACAAAAGGCAGGAATAACCAAACGGAAGAATCCAATTAACAAGTTCGACATTAGCGGAATAAAGAATCAATTGCTCGCTTTAAAAACTTAACACACAATGAACTTAAGGGAGTACCTCTCTTTTATCATTCAAGATAATTGCACCAACACCTACTCGGTGTGTTGCATTTGCAGGGATAGTGCTAGGTGTCTTAGGAATCCACAAAACAAGCATGAGGTAACTTGGCTCAGCATGGTGGTATTGAAACCCCTCCTGTAATCAGTTTAAAGTGTTTCAGAAGAACTTGACAGTCAAAACATCATAATTATAGACAAGAAGAAACAAAAAGAGCAACATAAAATTACCAAATACAAAATGAAGCTAAAACATATATCCAAAGTTTTGATCTACAAGTTAGGAGTAGGCAATGGAATAATATATTATAGAGCACCTTCACTGCAGTTTCAACTAGATGTGCGAGTCCAATAGGCAATTTAATCCAAACTCCTTTTTTACCCTGCACAGTAAATTCCGAATATAACTATAAACCAAAATAGCAAAACTAAGAAACTTAGAGCCCCTACATCAAGTTCCTAGAAGATGAATAACTTGATTGTGTAAATAAGATCTCTAGCAGCAATAACTGAAGTTAAGATTTGTTCATTTTGGTTACATCACAATCACCCTGAGAACACCAACTGATCACTTAGATAGCTGGTTCAGAATCTACTAAAATTCTACTTCCTCCTTGTTAATTCACAAAAATCCCCTGCATACAGAGTAAGACTTCGGCTCTGGATGAAGACTCAGCATTAGAAGTCAGCTTAATCGACTTGAGACCATTTTACAAAATCCAAGAAATAAGAACTTGTATCAAATGTAC